CAGCTCTGTGTCTGTACTCACAGACCCACCCGCTCACATTACATTCTTGTAAACATGGTGCCATGGGGAGAACCAGTCTTATGTGATGTGATACAGTATGCACAAGGGATGATTTATTTTTTAATTTGTTCTCTATTATTAGCCTTCTAATTACTCAGATTGGATGAAAGCAGAAGAGATCTCATTCTCAAAATAACCACCAATTATGTAGCCTGTGATGGCAGACGAAAGCAGTTCATTTTAGGTGGTCCAGGTTGAAGAAGCATCATTTACTCCAATAAGTTCTGTACAAGCATTGAGTTTTGATCTGTTTTTATGGCCCTAGCTCCCCACATGTAATTGTTCTAATAAAAATGCAATTCCATAGATCCCTAGAAAGAATTGATCCGATTCCCATCCCATATGTGCACATCTGTCACTGGGGAAAATCAGGCCTGATTAACCGTGGTTATGAACCAATCAGAATCTGGATTAATGTGACTAAGCATTTCTAGGGAATTCTGAATTCCACTATTCTTTCTTTTCACAGCCTCCCCCCCCCCCACCAAGAAGAAGTACATAGTTCTGTTTCCCTGATGAAGTAAACTTGGCTAAACAGAAATATGTACCTTGGTATTCTTAAAAACTACAGATATTTCTTTGATGTTTTCAGTTGTCTTAAGCTGGTTGCGTTCCAAAGTGCCCAATTAGTTCAGTGGTAACAAATCGTTCTCCTGTCAGTCAGAAAAGCCTTTGCCCTCAAGGCTCTCTGGTTTGGGTGTTTTGATGAGAGTGTAGGACATTTTATTTCTCAGCAAAGAAACCTCTCTGTAGATGCTGGGAGATAAAGCCAGGGGCCTGGGGTTTGGGGAGCTTTGGAGGATCGCTGGGGAAGTGGGGAGTTCTGTTGGAGCTCAGGAGGAGACCTCCATGCTCTAGATCAGTGCTGGCTACCTCAGAGGCACAGCCTTACCTCCACCTTGTCATCCTAGGGGATAATACCCACACTTTTTGTGTCTGTGAGAATTGGAAATTTCAATGTGGGTGAAGAGTGATTTGTGATGAGAACACCTTACCCTCCAGTCCATGCTAAGTACAGGTTTGCCGAGAAGCTTCGAGTTGCAGGTTGGGTGGTGAAAGTGTGGGCTTCCTTCCTATCTTCCTCTGTGCTGGCTGCTCTACCGAGGCTGCTGACTGTGGACTGACTCAGTGCACACTACTTAGCACTCAAGCTGCTCTTCCAGATCAGGTTTTTGGACTTTGTTTTAGATTTATTTTATGTGTATGAATATTTTGCCTGCATGTATGTTTGTGTACCACATGTGTGTCTAGTACCCTAAGAGGTCAGGAGGGTGGACAGTCCCCTGGGACTGGAGTTGCAGATGGCTAGGAGCTGCCGTGTGGGTGCTGGGAATCGAATCTGGACCCTCTGTAAGAGCAACAAGTGTTTTTAACCCCTGAGCCAACTCTGTAGCCCCCACACTCGTTATACTTTAAAGAATCATGTTTTGTTGTGACATTCCATACATATTTATATTTATTTATATTTTGGTTGTTTCTACCCTCCAAACTATCATCCTTTATCCTCCTTTCTCCCTTAGTCTCTTTCCCTTCCCTAGCAGTCTACTTTCCACACATGAAAGAAAACGTGCCGTCTTTCTCTGTCTGGCTTATTTTGCTTAACATGATAACTTCCAATTATATCCATTGTCCTGGAAATGACATGATTTTGTTGAAAGAAAGTCCATTGCATATGTGTGTGTGTGTACATGTATACATGTGTGTGTACATGTATATCTCTGTTGCATGCTGACTTTGATTCTTTTGAGTGTGTACTCAGGCGCAGTATAGATGGCTCATGTGGCAGTTCTGTTCTTAGAGGTTTTGTATGGGTGACTTAGGACTTACTGTTTTTCTTAGTGGCTGTACTAATTTTACATTTCCATCAACCAAGTATAAAGATTGTCTCCTCTGTATCCTTGGCAGTGTAGCTCCTTTTTGTTTTCTTGATGCTAGCCACTCTCACTGGGGTGAGGTGATTTTGACCTCCTTTCCTTGGCTGTAGAAGACATTTCAACATTTGCCAGGTATTTATTGGCCATATGTTTGGCTTCTTTTTAGGTTAAGTGTATGATTAGATTGTTTGTTCTTGTTATAGTTTTGACTATTTTTTTCCAAGCTGGCCTGGGTATAGTGTGCTTCAAACCTACTCTACCTGTTTTCTCACTACCAACACCCTATCCTCTCTATTTTACCCTTTTTGACCAGAATAGGAAAAGTAGTTCATTGCAAAGAGCAACAAATTGGGGCAGTAACCACACTCCTGTCTATGGCCTGATTTCTAAACCCAGGGCACAGAATTAGTTAAATGTAAGTAGCAACTTCCACATTGAAAGTAAAGGCTTGGCCTGGAGAGATGGCTCGGTGGTTAAGAGCAATAGCTGTTCTTGTAGAGCACCTGCATGCTGGCTCAAAACCATGTGTAGTTCCAGTTCTAGGGCATCTGACACCTCTTCTGGCTTTGTGAGCACCAGGTATATACAGGCAAAATACTCATGCACATGAAAAAAAAGAAAGAAGGAAAGGAGGGAGGAAGGGAGGGAGGGAAGGAAGGAGGGAAGGAAGAAGAAAGGGAGAGAGGGAGGGAGGGAGGGAGGGAGAAAGGAAAGAAGGAAGGAAGGAAGGAAGGAAGGAAGGAAGGAAGGAAGGAAGGAAGGAAGGAGAAACATAAAGATTGTGGAGGTGGGGGATGGCATTTTCTTATTGTCCTGTTTTATCAAAAACTTTCACAGCCTATGGCTATGGAGTTATATGTCCATTGATAAGCCAGCAACATGAATAGAGCTGCATAGATTATATTGTCATTTGAAAGACATAAGTAGAAGAGTAACTTCCATAGACAAGAGAGTGATATACACACTATATAACAAGTTCTACGTTACACAGTCAGCTCTTAGTGTCTACAGATTTCACAGCCAACTATGAAATTATAACCAACTATGGATTGAAAATATTTACGGAAAATATACGTAACACGTGCAGAACTTTATGCCTCTTATTTCCTAAGTGTCTTACTTAGAGTCTCCAATGCTGCGATGAAACACTGTGACCAGAAGGCATGCTGGGGAGGAAAGGCTTCACTTGGCTCACACTTCCTCATTGCTGCTCATCACTGAAGCAAGCCCGGACAGGAACTCAAGCATGGCAGGAATCTGGAGGCAGGAGCTGATGCAGAGGTTATGGAGGGTGCTGCTTCCTGGCTTGCTCCTCGTGCTTGCTCAGCCTGCTTTCTTATAGAATTCAGGACCGCCAGCCCAGAGACTGTCCCATCAATCACTAATTAAGAAAATGTCCTACAGCATGATCTTATAGAGGCATTTTCTCAATTGAGGCTCCCTCCCCTCCAGTGACTGTAGCTTGGTGAAGGTGACATAAAACTAGCCAGGACACTAAGAAATATAATATGATAACTTTGTGTTTCATTAGGAACTATATATAAGTGAATTAAGATGTACACAAGGGTGTGTAGGTTACATATAAATAACGGCACCTTTTATAGAAGGGGCTTGGAGCATCTGCAGATTTTGGTATGGGGATTTTGGAACTGATCACTCACAAGTAAGGGGAGAGTTGCTGGAATTGAAAGTTGTAGTGAGAAAAATGTCAGATGACATGAAAGGAACGTACTTCACTAGGAAGATTGTAAGGCAGAATCTAAATGGAGTATCTTTTAAAATCCTGTCTTAGCTCCATGTTTATACGTTCTAGTAGTGAAGTGTGTCATGTAAGAAGGGAATCTACACCAAAACCAGTTTCCATGGAACCAGATGATCCAGCCATGGAAGAAACGGGCCCTGATCCCATTCTCTTGCTAGAATATAAGTAGAATTTTGTGTCATGTAAAATAGTGCATGCAAAATGAGTTAGTCACTGCATTTTGTGGCAGAGACTAAAGCACCTGTCAGGAAGAGAGCCAAGAAGCAGCAGTTTAACCCATACAATAGTCCAGTGTGTTTTGGTTTGGAGAGATTGCCAAGACAGAATGGACCAGGTAGTCACAGAACAGAACACATCATTGATCATATGTGTAGCTCTGTGAATGTTTGCAGTTCTGGGAGTATACATTCAAAAATGACCCCCCCAAAACCGAAAATAACAAAACCCAAACCCAACCAAACCCAACAACAACAACAAAAAAACCCTGGCAAATACAGAAGGAAACATTTGGAAAAGGAACAGGAAATAGGAAGGGTTGTGATTTATACATTTCTGTCTTTAAATATCCACACTTCATATACACAAAAGGGGTGTGTGGTGTGTGTGTGTGTGTGTGTGTGTGTGTGTGTGTGTGAGAGAGAGAGAGAGAGAGAGAGAGAGAGAGAGAGAGAGAGAGAACAAGAAGAGCAAAAATAAAGATTAGCAGTGAAAGTTCGTAAAGCACTAAGCACACTGCCCCCCACTCTAGCCTCCACTTCGAAGCCTGGAATCTTTACTGTGACCATCCATCCTTACAGGTTCTTTGCCTTCCATGTCTATATGGGAATCATCCAGTTTTAAGGATGAAGTCCATGAGACCATGTTGGTGAAGACCTGTACTACTGTAATACTTGTGGTACATTAAAGTGTGTGTTATTATGTATAGAGCCCACCTCGGTTCTCTGTGCAGACTTAGCATGAGAGCTATAGGAATCACAATGTGTGTGTGTATGTTTCTTTGTATTTCTGAGATAGATCTTACTGTGTAGCCTAGACTGACGAGAATTCCCCATCTCCCTTAGCCTCTGGAATACTGGCATTACAGCAGTGAGCACCACACCCTGTTTTCTTCGTTTTTATTTGATTTGTTAATTGTACTTTTTTTTTTTTAACTAAAAAAAGGAGAAAACCAAAGCCAAGTGGAATCACCTTACTTCACAGAGAGATACATTCCTGGTTGTTCTTTTTGATCTTGTGATCTAACGTAGTTATTGCTATTAGTCCGTAGACATGTAAATAATGTCTTTCCCTCTTTTTTTCCATAGGAAGACTATGATCGTCTGAGGCCTTTATCTTACCCCATGACTGATGTCTTCCTCATATGCTTCTCTGTGGTAAATCCAGCCTCATTTCAAAATGTAAAGGAGGAATGGGTACCAGAACTAAAGGAATATGCACCAAATGTCCCTTTCTTATTAATAGGAACTCAGGTGTGTCTGCTTTGATTTTATTCATTTAAGAATTAGCTCTATAGTTAGCCTTGGGGGACTGCTCTCAAATAAGACCCTGTGATTAGCAAATGATGTGTTAAGTAAGTTTCAAATTGGCAATTCCTCTCATATATCTACATTAAAATAGTTCCCCCAAATTGTATTCATATCTTTAAAATCTTATTTTGTGTATCTTTTAATATGTAGAGATTAAATGGAACTATATGCATTGGTTTCTTTTAAAATACATATTATAGAACATTATCAATTTTTCTTAATTAGATTGATCTCCGAGATGACCCCAAAACTTTAGCAAGACTGAATGACATGAAAGAAAAACCTGTCTGTGTGGAACAAGGACAGAAACTAGCAAAAGAGGTAACGAATCCCTGCTGGGCTTAACAAATATGTGAAGATGCAGGCTAGGCTAGACCATGGTGCTATGCTTCCTGTCCCAGCCTTGCTGGGTGTCTCTCTCATTACCGTCATCATCTCTGCACTGACACAACGAGGAAGGTCAGTTTCCCTGGTTGTAGACAAGAAAGAATGGGGCCCTTTAAATAACAGGAGCCTGAGATTTTTCAGTAAAAAATGGCAGAGCTGGGCTTCCAGCTCGAATGCTCACCCACCTGTACTAGGTGGACAACTCTGACTTTAAAGGCACCTGCAAGACATAGCAGAAGCAGAGGCGGAGACTTCACACTCCTCTTAATTATTTAAACATATGTACTGTGCCAAATTAGGCTCTGCTTTCAGCTTACAGCAAGTGCAGTTTAAGTGACTTTAAGTGACAATTTAAATCTGTGGCTAAAGAGAAAATTATGGGTAGATTTGTACAAAAATATTTACAGATTCATATCATACCTTTTAATTTACATTATTCCTTACCCCAAAGCTAGATTTTTTTCTCCTCTATATGACAGTAAGATTATTAAATTCTTTTTTTTTTCTTTTCTGTTTTGGGGTTAGCAGGATTTTTGTGTAAGTACAATCTAATAAGGTCTTTTTAAATGTATTATTAGGAGATAGGAAGAAACAAGAGAACTTTCTGGAGGATAGCTTTTCCCAAGGAAAAGAGAGATGATTTCACCAACAGAGCACTTCAGGAATTTCTTGCGTTGATTTTATAATTTTGGAGAGAGAAGGAATTTCTAAATGCGTAAAATTAAAAGTTATAAATCCAAGTTATCTGAGTACTAAATATTGTGCTCACACTGGATGCCAGAAATAAATCAGATTGTTGTGTAGGGCATTAACGTCTTTAGTATACAGGAACCCCTTGCATAAAATGATTTAAGCAGAAGAGGGCATAGACCCCAGCAAAAAGTGGGCTAAGAACATCCATCCAACGTCACCAAGTTTGAGGACGTGATCATGAGCTTCCACTCCAAGGAGAATGAATAGAAACTGTGCATTCTAGCTGGGCATAGGGGCACAAGCCTTTAATTTTAGCACTCAGGGGGCAGAGGAAGGTGGATCTCTGAGTTCAAAGCCAGCCTGGTCTAGAGAGTAAGTTTGAGGATAGCCAGGCCTACACAGGGAAACTGTCTCAAAAAGTCAAAACAAGCAAACAAACAAACAATAAGGGAAATTGTGTATTCTTACTTGGCAGGTCTGACAACACCGTAGAATACGTTCAGTCCCCACCCTGCTCTCAGACTTTTTTCTGAGAGAAACCAAGCCTAAGGGAGTGAGCACAGAGCTAGAGAGCCAGAAGGTAATGTGGAGTCTGAAGAAGACAGGGAGATAAAGTAAGGGATGAAGCAGCTGGGCAGCCCTGAGAAACAGACAGTCTAGAGAATGACTAAGGTCTACACAGGGAAAGTGTTCTCTCCCACCTGGCTTCTTTACTGTGTCTTAGATACGGCAAGCATCTCCCACATCAGTCTCGGGTTTGGGCTCCTCAGGATCCCTCACGGCTCAACCTTGACCCTGCTGAGTATTAGCATCCTCCCGTTTCCCTCTCCTCTTTGTCACAGCCATCACCAGCGTCTGCTCTGTGTCCCTTTTCTTGCAGACAGCAGGACACTTTGGTCACTGACGTGTCCCCCAGCACCTAAGCAGTTGCTTACTGTACAGCGGTTATCTAGTAGCTGATGAGTAAGTTTCCCTAGAGAAATCTGGAAGGCCATACACTAGTATGTTAACAACTGTCTCCCTCTGGGTGTTGTGAAAATGCATAATGAGGTTCTTTTTATATAGCTATATTTTATAACTTCCCTTTTAATGTGTTGATACTGAGTTGTATAAAACTGTGGTATAACTGTGGCTTTTTTTCCCTCCTTCCCAGATAGGCGCATGCTGCTATGTGGAGTGTTCAGCGTTAACCCAGAAGGGTTTGAAGACTGTGTTTGATGAGGCTATCATAGCCATTTTAACTCCAAAGAAACACACAGTAAAAAAAAGAATAGGATCAAGATGTATAAACTGCTGTTTGATTACGTGAGAGACACCTTTAGTGGCCAAGGAAACTGTCCATTTCTCCCAGAAAGCATTTGAAATGCTACAGTGATGTCCTGACCTCTTACAATGAAGCAGTTTAACTTGAGGGGGGAGGGAACCTGTCCTCAGCATTCTACAGAGTTCATTGAGAATGTTTCATAAAGGGTCTATGCGGCAGCAAACAGCATCTGAAGCCACAATCTACTATAAATACTTTATTTCAACTAGAAGGTACAATCTCTCAGGGGTTTCATAATTACAATCACATCATGTTTAGAAAACAACAGTGCTGTAAACGGACTGCTTGGCTTGACCATGTCACTTCTGCACAGCCCTTACCGAATCTGCACACAAATAACTCTCTCCTCTCTCTTAATTGTTCTTGTATGTAAGTTGCTTTCTATTCCAGTAGATCCAGAGTGGCGAGATAACCAGGCCAGCCACGTAGCCAAAGGTCGCTCCGAGTGTGCAGGAGATGGGCCACACCTGAGGAAAGAATTGAGATTTAAACCAACAGATGCTTTCTTATACTTGAGCACAAATGAAGTATAACACAAACATTTCTATAGTGAGGCTTAACGTGCTTTCTTAAAGAATGCCAAGTTTAATAGATCAGAACTGCATTGATCATGAACACTAAAAATGTACACGTTTTAGTTAACGTGCATTAAACAGTAACGAGCCTTCTGGCAATTGTAGATTTAGTTTGATGTTATCCAAATTGCATGAAATACATGCTAAAGTAACATTTAAAAATTGGGTCATAGTTTGCCATAATCCTGAACTCAGTTTAGCTCTCTGAATTAGTTGGCCATTTTTCTAATTCCCATATTGGCTGTGTACATCAAATGAAATAAGTGTATAGGCTAACGAAACCTTAGAAACTTTCAGTTGTGTCGGAGGGAAGACCTGGAAGGTAAGCATGCTATGTGGCATTTGTGGGTATCTGCTTCCATAGTGAAACTGAAGGCACTTGGAGCTGCAGTGTGTCCAGAGCAGAGGTACAAGCACAGCTTATGGACACATCTGGAGCGAGGCAAGCAGAGCACTGCTGCTCCCCAATGTCTCCAGCCATGCTACACTCCACTGAATCCGAAATATAATGGGTTTTTCTTATGCCATAGACAGGGTATGTGTGAAAAATCTTGGAAACAAACTTTCATGTTCCTTTGTAAACCATATTTGGTGTACTGCAGCCATTTCTAACTCTCCTTTGGGGAACAGGCCATCAAAGTGGACTGGAGGCAAACCATCTTAATAACTGGCTGGTTACCGCATTTGGCTTTCTTCTTTGGTCTGCTATGGATCTGCCTTATTCTAAATGCCATGCAACAGACAGTAGTGTAGGCAAAGCTTCCATGTGAACCACCTCTTGCAGTTGAGGGAAGCAAAATCTAATCCATATGTTGTTACCAGCCTTCCTTAGGTTCAAATTTGCTGTTGCTTAAACTACGACTTCTTTGTCTTTAGCAAGCTTCTGTTATCTTCCATGGTTTGTGCTTAAGCTTTGTCTATTGCACAGATTGGGTAATGGAACACTAAACATTTATACTTGAAAATGACAGCCTTAAATGTTCATACCAGTCACAAATCTAGATGTACTGTCTTGCATGTGAGCTTTGTAGGAGTTTTTAAAATATAAGCACCACACTCCCCATTCGGTAGTGGACAGTCTGCTAGACAAGAGCTTTCTCTTGGAAGTGGACGTAGTATGTCTTCAGGCAGTGGTGGTTCACATTAAGTATATCATGGCCTTATGTATGCTCAAATGGGACTTCTGTAATATTCCCATTTAGTTTTGGTCTGTTTTTAGATAGAATTGAAAGAAATTGTATAGTTGGTTAACATATTAGCTAAGTTGTCAAACCTATGATATGAAGGAATCGAGACAGTAAAGTATTATTCGTTTCCAAGATGCCTTTGGAGATTTGATGGTTTGTTTATTTTCTTCAAATCTACATCTGTGAAACCCTTGACACTTGGTATGTTAGCAATGAGTTTAAGTCAAGGACTTTCCTGCTCCAAGAGAAATGGATTAAGATTCTGAACATGCACTGCTGTCACCTCAGTCTCCTCATGTGTGACCATGGGGACAAACTCATGTCCCAGTCATTCACGAGGTCTTACCACTCTCTGATTGACAGCAGTCATAGTTGGACTTCACCTTTTCCAGATGGTAAGAATCATGTATATAGCCTATCTGAACTCTAAGCAGACGATTGTATCATCTGAACCTGAGGTGCCTTAGGTATTCAATTTACCTTGATGGGGTTTGGAGTTTCCCATTGCTTGTTAAGAGCTCTTTGTGTTTGTTTAGTATTTCTTTTTGCAAAATCTTCTCTGCCACTTTAACCAGAAAACCAAAGATTTGTTTTCTATTCCTGAGCAGATTATAGAGAAACTGCCTTATTTTAGACACATATCTTCATTAATGGCTTAGGTTGCAGCAGAAATTCAGACTACTCTCTGGAATAACTCTTCCAAAAATATTTTATTAACATGAACTGTATTAGTGAGCACACTGCTTCAAATAAGGTCATGTGTGAAAGAACATACAAAAAATTATAATTGGTTAGTGTTTGCATAGAAAATTTGTTCTGAAAGCCCTTTACAATTTTTAGGGGAATCTTGAAATCTAACAGCACTTACTTTGCTAATGTATGCCCTTACTCTGTCCTTACAGGTACATTGTAGCTACTTGTGATGAATTATCATATTTCCAATACGTAGAGCTTGAGTTCATGCTATTTGTTATGAATTATCTTAGTTCTTTAGACACTGCTTCCATTTGATTTTTAATTATTGGTTTTAAATACCAAATTAAATGCTGGTTTGTTGGTTGTTGTTTTTAAATGATTGTTACTTCAACAGCACCCCCTCCTGACGTATGGGGTCATAATAAAATGAGATGCATAGTTTACTGTTTTATGTAAAGCACTGAACTTCTTACCTCAGGAGTTTTTTATTTAATCTCCTTTCCTCTACGGTGCGATTGCTTACTCCTGGCAATGTGTGAGCTCTTGTACCCCCTGAAAAGCTCTGTTAATCAGGGTGTGGGGAAAATTAACAATCCTTATGGGTCTCAGCCATATTCTGATTTGGGGTACCAAGTTCTGTTTCAATCACTCTGTGACTTCAGTGTGGTCCACTGTTCTCAAACACACACAGAGACATTCACACACACTTGCCATACTTCACTTCCAAAGAACGTGAAAAATGAAGCAAATGTTGTTTTCAATGTTTTCCTCCTATCAGGAGGTAAGGCTTGGACCACTCAGCAATTCACTGTTATATAAAACTCAGAAATCCATGTCAACGCAAGATAAAATGTTGTAACTTTTCAAACAATTCCCTAGTGATGCCCCAGGCTTTGTGCACACAAGGGCGCTGCTGTGAGCCTCCTGCAATACAACACTCAAGCCCTTAACTGTTTACGGTCCTTTCTTCCTACCAGCCTTCTTAGGATTGCTGTAACATGGTTAAAACCACACCGCAGCACAGAATTCATCCTGACTTATCCAGTCAGCCTAATTAATTATATTTTAACAACGAGATCTTGAGTTTTCCACTCAAAAGTTTCCTTGTTTCACAGATACTATTTTTGTTTTATTTATGCCACAGTATTTAAAAAAAAAATCTGTAGTACCTATTAGCTAGTTCAGCTGCAGAGATATAAGTATTTCTCTAAATCATGATAATCTGAAATAGCTACATATAATTATTGTTTTATATAAGGAAAATAGGAAATTGTATAATAATGCAATGCTACTTAGTAGATAAAATTAGTAAGGGTACCAAAGGAAAAACCTCTTTTAAGAGATGAGTGGCTACATCAAGTGAGAAGCCAGTATCCTAGTTATGCATAATGCATACACCTCTCGGACCAGCAATCAGGAGGCTGAGGAAGAGAATGATGGGTAATTTGAAGCCAACCATGATGTTGTTAGGGTTACTATGCTGGAATGAAACACAGAATCCAAAAGCAACTTGGGGAAGAAAGGGTTTACTTGGCTTACATTTCCACATCACTGTTTGCTATCCATCTAAGGCAGTCTGGGCAAGCAGGGCAGGAACCTGAGGCAGGAGCTGATGCAGGAGCTGATGCAGAGGTCACGGAGAATGCTGCTTACGGGCTTGCTTCTCCTGGCTTGCTCAGCCTGCTTTCTTATAGAATTAGAGACCCAGGGATGGCACCACCCACAATGGGCTGGACTCTCCCCACACTGACTACTAATTAAGCAAATGCACTCCAGGTCTGTCTCTCCGAGATCTAATAGAAGCATTTTCTCAACTGAGGTGCCCTCCTCACAGATGAAATCAGTACAGCTGCAAAGCAAGACTTTATCTCACAAAAACCCACCCTGCTGCAGTCCTGTGACCTTGTACTTCAGAGGCTGGCAGGGTAACCCACAAAGGAGGATCACCACGAGTCTGAGGCCAGCCTGGGCTACAGGGCAAGATACTATTTTTAAAAACAAGACACCAAAAAGAAAAAAATCCAACTCAATCCCCGATTCCGCCCTTCCCACCCCGTAAAACAAAACCCAAAGAAGCCTTGTTAGGGCACCATTATGGTCCTTCGTATAAATACAGTAACTGTGGATTTATTTATCACTTGAACCAAGAAAGGCCAGTTTTCTCAAAATAATGAAAATTAATGAAGATTTTATATTACCTAGCATAGAATTTGGGCAAATGAAACCTGTAGTAGGTTTTTTGTTTTTGTTTTTAAAGAAATATCTTCATGATCCAAAAAGCACTTTTAGATATATAAACCATGAATGTGTGGGGTTTTTTTTCTGTCAAATGAAAATGTTTGAAAGGAACAATATGGTCTAGGGAGATGCATCACAACAGTTAAGAGCACTGGCTGCTCTTCCAGAGGACCTAAGTATGACTCCCAGCACAACATGGTAGCTCACAACCATCTCTGACTTCAGTCCTGATCTAGCACCCCTTTTTGTCCTCTGTGGACATGCTGCATGCATGTTAGACATAGACATGCATGCAGACAAAATATGCCAAATAAGTACTTTAACAAAAGAGAATTTTAAAATTTTAAAAAATGTAACAATACAAAAATGTCCATTTTGGCTTTAGGAAGAATCTCTCCTTTTGTCTTAGGAAAGGAAACATTTAACACAGCTGTACAGGGGCTTTACTAATGTAGAACAGTGAGGAAGAATACTGATTTGGGTATTAGGCAGACTGGACTTGAATCTTGGCTTTGTGGTTGAATTGGTTACTGCAAAATGCCAGAGTAGAGGACAAAACAGGTCACGGGTCTGACTGAATGAAGACTTGTGTGACGTTAGGTTAACTGGTATTTCCCTTACCAAAGGGACTATGCTGTATTAAACTAAAATGCTAATGTACAATTTACATGGTTCAAGATTGGAAAAAATTAATATTTAACAGAAGATGGTTTGGATTAAAGATGTGCTCATGTCAGCTAATTCTCCTGACAGGACAATGGCAGGACTTTCCTGAGAGAATTTACTGGCCAGGCTAACGTATATGCATGCATGCATTTGTTCAGAAGTATTTATTGATACTTTTGACAGGAGTCCTGCCCAGGAATTCACTGCTCCATAAGTAATAAGTTCCTAACTAAGTGTTCTTTGGAGGAGAGAGGTCAGAGTAAATGTAGGTCAGTGTCCATTTACAGTTAGCAAACTAGAGCCAGAAGAGCAGATGTTGTCACCCGTGCGTGTATTCCTACAATGGATTGCAGCATCTACCCTAGGAGTACCCAGACTGCAGCATCTAGCCTAGGAGTACCCAGACTGCAGCATTTATGCCAGGAGTACCCAGACTGCAGTATTTATGCCAGGAGTACCCAGACTGCAGTATTTATGTTAGGAGTACCTAGCAAAGCACTCAAGACCAAACTGAAAGGAAAGATGAATGATCACTTTAAGACAGTAGTTTTAACAGATGGGTTCTAACAGTCATGCAGCTGAAAATTTGTTCAGCACAATAAACAAACCACTGAGAAGTAGTCTACGAGAGACAAAGGACTGGCTAGCCTGGGCTTACCTTCCTTTGTATTTGAAAAGAGAGTAACTCCTCCTCTGCAGACTCATCCGTTTCTCCTATTTACTCTGATGGCACCCACATCTGGAGGCTCACACACACCTGCAGCTCCAGCTAAGGAACCCAATAGCACTTTTGGAGATATGCGCACAGATACCCACAAACAAACAAACAAACAAACAAACAAGAAAGTCTTAGAAACAAGTAGAATAAGTCAGAAAATGATAGACCACAGTACCTGTCATCTTCCTATGGCCACATGCTACACACGTGTGCTCACACAGAAGAAAAGGCATGTTTTTCAAAGACACTATAAATTAGCTTTAAATATGCTCCTATAAATGTATTAAGATTTTGGTCTAAAAATACAGACATCACCAGAGTGATTATGATATTTAGAAGAAACAATGTGGGAAGGAAAGCAATTTAATACTTAAGCTATTCTAAAGAGAAAAAAGCTCTGGCTTTAAATAAAGAAACAAACACAGAGTTTCAGTCTCCGGCAGAGAAGACAATTATGGTGTAGGCCTTGTTTGAATCCCAAATCTTCCTCTTGCCAATCAAATAACAGTGAACGTGATGTGTCTCCTCCCTCCCACACTTTGCCTTTGTGGTGGTAATAACAGGAATAAGATCTACCTTGTTCAACAGTCGTCGTGATTACATTACCTCTGGCACAGTACCAGACTCATACCTGGTGCAGAGACCTACAAATGATACTGTGTTCTATTATTATCTGAAATGTCAGACAGAATTGAACATGATATGAAATTTATGTAACTCAATAAACTCATTTAACAAAATTTGAAAGGAACAAATGAAAAAAACTCACAAAAGGGGCACTAGCAAACAGAATAAGACAGAGCAATGAGAGCTCAGTGTACACAATGAAGCTGGCATTTGTGTGTGAAGGTATTGTCAGCAGACCACTTCATAGAACACAGCGGCGTGGTAGCTGGCCTCCTACCCTGCTTTCTGTGACCAACCTTTGCTGCCTTCTATACAGAGAGGTCTTCCTTCATGTACGCAGGTCTTTCACCATCTACCAGTAACTACTAAAATCACTGAATGCTCATTAACTTGAAAATAAGTTTTCAATGACATTAACTTTCAGTGGGCCGTCTCTGCCACTTGATGAGGAATCTATCTGAAAATTATATATATATTTGAGATTTGTTACTATGGAACACAGTTGATGCCTGGCCACAGGAACATCACACAAAATCAAATTTGAATTCAGAGTGGAGAAAACGGCATCAAAACATGAGACAGGTTTTGGGCCTATGTGTTCATGCATGTGTATTTTTAAAAAAACCAGATGTTCCTGTTTCTCTAAAATATAACAAACACAACCCAGAGATGCTTGCTTAAACATGATTTAAAAATCTCAAATGTGCTTCAGGCTGCAGGGAACAAAGAACTAAAAGCTCTTTTTTAACAGCGTGCTGTACTTAGACAGGAGAGTTTATACAGTACTATCTTCTCATGAAGTTCTGCTCTAGCAAATTCTCCATATTTATGAAATGCCTACCCTCTTATCTGGTTTACTGCCTTTCTGGCAGATTCTGTCAATATGATTAACCACAATGAGGTCTTGTTCTGTATAGTTTGAACTATTGGAAAATAACAGTAGCCTCACAAAACCTTGTTTGCTAAAAATGAAAAACAAAACTGCCTCGCTTATTAGAAAACAACCAAAAGCACCTAGTAAGAAGCTGAATAAAATCTGAGAAATGTCATTTTTATTTTTCCCCCATATGTACTTCCCCCATAAGTATGACTTTAAAAGGATTATAGTGAGTAATCCAACCATTAACTTAAATTACCCCCCAAAAAACAATAAAATTAAATAGCCAGTGTATTCCAGATAAATGAAATCTTTTAAATATTTTAACCAACTGTAATA